ATTTCAAAACGTCAGACGAATAAATTTCCTGTCCCAGCGATCAACTCCACTTCCTCTCGAAAAATAAACAGTTACTGGTACTCTAGAACTGATATTAAAATGTGGTGGTTTCATAAGTTTTCTATGTAATGAAGAATGGATCAGGACTTACTTGCGTGTGCAAAAAATTATTACTATTAATTTCGATTATTTACTGATAATAAGTCAGTTTTGGTCAACGGACTTTCTTGAGCAGAACTTTATTTCGTGCGGCGTTGCCTGAGGAATCGCGTGAGTGACACTCGGAGGTGCACTGATGAGCTAATTCATTCGCGGACGCGTCATGCAGTTTTCTGAAATTTAAGCTACTCATTAGCTCTTACTTATACAGGATGCGGGATTTTGGGAAAACAAACCAAAATGCATTTTGTGCATTGCCTTGTCTAACATGGGCATACCAAGCAAATAGCTAAAAGCCAGGACGTGTGACTCGGAGATGTTAACTGGGGTATAATGCAGTTGCGATGAGTTGACCTCATCAGCATGTTGACGGTGTTCCCCATATGTTTTCAGATGTAAACATCATTAAGCTAGAAATTCCCTAGAAATTAATATCGTCTGCACACATTTTCCCGAGTTTAGTCAATTTTATATGAATATCTGAGCGATGGCCTACTGGCGCAACCTACATGGCATTATCGAATTTTCTTGTGCCCTCACGAAGTTCGCAGTTTCTTGGTGTTTTTAATTTTCCCTGCGTCTGACCACGATCATAGGAATCAGTGTCGAAAATTAACGCAATAAAGTACCTTTCCTGAAGAACGCGTACTTAGAAGGGAATGACGGGAGAGCTATTTCTTGTACCCTCTGTTTTTCATTCGATTTTTCAAACCCCATCGCGCACGCCATACATAGCCACCTCCACCGCACTATTGAGTTGTTGATAAGGGACTAACCAGTTTATATGCTTATCGACTGAACCCTCGATCGCACACCACGCTTTCTGCAGCCAGCGTGAAGGCTGGTCATCTGATCGATCTGAGATTTCACGCTGCCAAATGCGAAGTTGCGCCTCGAGTCGGCAGACAGCAAGACAATCTTATCTCATAGCCAGCTTGTATTCGAGTAATTGCCTGTGGGACTGTTTACTTGCTTCATCAACGTAATTCAGTAAATGATACCATATTTTCTAACGGATAGTAGCAGGTCCCTTGGATAT